TTAATAAATGGTGTTGGGAAAACTGGCTGGCCATGTGCAGAAAGCGGAAACTGGACCCCTTCCTGACACCTTACACTAAAATTAACTCCAGATGGATTAAGGACTTAAACATAAGACCTGGCACCATAAAAACCCTAGAACAAAATCTAGGCAAAACCATTCAGGACATAGGAGTAGGCAAGGACTTCATGACTAAAACACCAAAAGCATTGGCAACAAAAGCCAAAATAGACAAATGGGACCTAATCAAACTCCACAGCTTCTGCACAGCAAAAGAAACAGTCATTAGAGTGAATCGGCAACCAACAGAATGGGAAATAATTTTTGCAGTTTACCCATCTGACAAAGGGCTGATATCCGGAATTTACAAAGAACTCAAACAGATTTACAAGAAAAAAACAAGCCCATTCAAAAATGGGCAAAGGATATGAACAGACACTTTACGAAAGAAGACATACATGAGGCCAACAAACATATGAAAAAATGGTCATCATCACTGGCCATTAGAGAAATGCAAATCAAAACTACATTGAGATCCCATCTCACACCAGTTAGAATGGCGATCATTAAAAAATCTGGAGTCAGCAGATGCTGGAGAGGATGTGGAGAAATAGGAACACTTTAACACTGCTGGTGGGAGTGTAAACTAGTTCAACCATTGTGGAAGACAGTGTGGCAATTCCTCAAGGACCTAGAAATAGAAATTCCATTTGACCCAGCAATCCCATTACTGGGTATATATCCAAAGGACTATAAATCGTTCTACTATAAGGACACATGCACAGGAATGTTCATTGCAGCACTGTTTACAATAGCAAAGACCTGGAACCAACCCAAATGCCCATCAATGATAGACTGGACTGGGAAAATGTGGCACACATACACCATGGAATATTATGCAGCCATCAAAAACGATGAGTTCATGTCCTTTGTAGGGACATGGATGAATCTGGAGAACATCATTCTCAGCAAACTGACAGAAGAACAGAAAATAAAATACCGCATATTCTCACTCATAGGCGGGTGATGAACAATGAGAACACATGGACACAGGGAGGGGAACACTACACACTGGGGTCTGTTGAGGGGAATAGGGGAGGGACAATGAGGGGGGAGTTGGGGAGGGATAGCATGGGGAGAAATGCCAGATGTGGGTGAAGGGGAGGAAGGCGGCAAATCACACTGCCACATGTGTACCTATGCAACTATCTTGCATGTTCTGCACATGTACCCCAAAACCTAAAATGGAATAAAAAAAATTATAAAACAAAGTCTTAAATTTCAAACCTGTACCGTAACCCTCAACACTCTACTTAATATATGCCTGTGGTAAAAATAGTTCTTGTGCTTTTAATCACTCACTGAATGCTTCCTTCTTCACTTTTTAAGTTTGTATTTGTGCACAAGAGTCTATCTTTGTGAGGTTACAACAATTGAAGAATTTTGTACAGGAAAACAGGACCAAAAAAGTGATGAGGCTAGAGTCATAGCTGATATTTACATTCAGTGACTGAGGAAAGCTGGGTGCAGTGGCATGGGCCTATAGTCCCAACCTCAGCAACACAATGAGATCCCATCCGCCAAAAAATAGTAAAAGAAGAAAAACTAAAAGTGCTTACAGAGAAAATAAGGAAGTATGAAACTAAGAGAAACAAAGTATGGTTGTGGTCTTTACTTAAGGCAGTGCCTATGTATAGTCAGGAGATACATAATTACACAGCACACAAAGCACTGAGGACTCTGTCCTAGGGTAAAGAAGAAACCTCTAAAAATGTCTAAGAGCTACAACAATGTTACAAACAAAATATAACTGAAAAAGAGGGTTGGGGACACACAGAAAGAAGTAGGTCTTAAACCTGAGTCTTGAAAGACAAGTAGAAATTATCCATATAGAAAGGGGAAAGAGGTCATTCAGTAAATGACAGATAAGCATGTGTAAAGAGACAGAGAATTTGCGGATTCCAGGGTGTATGTGAATAAGAAGGAAGATGCAAGACTCATTAAGCTCCACTACGAAAGGCTCTGTATGAATACACTGAATCTTCAAGGTTCTTGGTCACTGTTACATATCCAGAACGTAGGACAGTGTCTGCTACTTAGTAAGTTCCAACTCTAAAATTAAATAAAAAATGGGGAGTGTATATTTCTGCTGATTACTCCTATTTTTTTTTCCTACAAAGAACTCCCCATGCCATTTTGTCAACTTACTCATCAAGGAATACAACAGCAGCCTTGTCTCACCTTTTAACTCCTACTTCTTGGAAATACTAAGATTTCCAAGTTTTAGTGCATCAAGACAGCACTATCAGATGCCTCCTCCTATTAGTCTTCATTCCATGTTAACCTGTGGAGCAGCTTGAAAACACTTCCTCATTGAGTGAGATGAAAAAAATACTAGTTCCTTTGCAGGCACTGCAAGAGGAAATCCAACCCTGAAGGTGCAGTTCTTTCAACTTACAAAATCAAGCCTAATTACTGAATATGCCATATGCCTTCATCATACATTCAAACCATTCTCTCCCACCCCAAATCTGCTCCTCAGCTTGCCTAATTAAGTATATGGGTGAATACATTCTGCCAACTTTCATGGCACAGCTTTGAAAGTCACCTTTCTGATTATTTCATTAGAAAGCCACTTAGTAAACCACATTCTGGTTTAAAGAAAACCTGGAGGTGTTGGCCTCCATAGAGAAATTTAGCCCCCAGACATGTAAGCACTGCATTCTACTACAGAGGCTCCTGTAGCCAGGTCTAAAATAAAGCTAACCTGACAACTATTTCAGGAAGGACTCACAAGGTAGCTTTTCAGGTGGAAGTGCTGAACTCTGTCTAGCTCCACCCATTTATAAGTTAGACTGAGAGACAGATTAAACATGAGTCACCAGTGAGTTCCTCCTTCCCACCAGCTAACCCATTCTCCAGAAGTTAATATGTCCCAAGGCCAAGGCAGCCAATACCCTGATTTTGGTATCTGTTCTCTGGGAAAGACTTACTAACTTGACTATATATAGTAAAGCCTTGCTTTAATCCATGCTTAAAGTTTGCACTTTGTTATAGGCATTCAAATGTCTCTTCCAATGTCCACTGGGGAATGTATATACTGAGAAAAAGTATAAGTCTGGGAGTTTACTAAAACTAGTATGCTCTGTGGCTTAATTGTTCTACCACCTTCCCATGTTCGGATAAACAGAAAAGCAGGGAAATTCAACAAGGAAGCCTTCAAAGTTATCAGTGAGATCAGATGTATTATCAATAGCCACTACTTTCTTGGACTAGCTCCAGGTACCATGAACAAACGATGACCAAGTCAGGGATATGACAGGTAGTACAAAATTCCATCTAAATACAGGTGGACAATAAATTGAAAATATTATTCAACTTAAGGCATGGGCATATGAAATATAAAATGTGTCACTGTGTTGTCTTTTGGGTGGTCTCAGGTACAAGCCACTGTAGGTCGCTCAACAATGTATGAGCACTGGGAAGGAAAGCTAACTTCTTTTTTTTTTTCTTGAGACAAAGTCTCATTTTGTCCTCTAAGCTACAGGGCAGTGGAGTGATGTCAGCTCACTGCAACCTCTGCCTCCAGGGTTCAAGTGATTCTTGTGCCTCAGCCTGCCGAGTAACTGGAACTACAAGCTAATATTTTTTGTATTTTTAGTGGAGATGGGGTTTCACCATGTTGACCAGGCTGGTCTCTAACTTCTGACCTCAAGTGATCCACCCTCCACAGCCTCCCAAAGTGGTGGGAATACAGGTGTGAGTCATCGCGCCCCACCAGGAGCGTTAACTTCTAAAAATTCAGCAGCTGGGAAAGCTAACAGAGCTAAGAAAGCTGGCTTACAAAAAACAATTAGTCTAGGAAGTGTCAGAACTTCAAAAAGTGAGTGAAGATAACCTATCCAAAGCAGGGAAGGATGTGGTGTCATAATAATAAATACTAGCTGGCCACGGATCAAATACTTTGGAGCAAGGAGGGCATCAAACCTGATTCTGAGGGCAGGGGAAGGACTAACCATAGTATGTCTAAAGGATGGGCTAAATCACAAGTTCTCAAACTAACTGGCATGAGAATCACTGGAATGCTTTGGAAAAACAAACAAACAAACAAAAATAAAATCGTTGGGCCTCCATTTCCACATTTCTGATTCAACAGAACTGGGGTGAAGCCCAGTAATTTGCATTGCTAACAAGCTTCAAGGAGATGATGCTGCTGATTCAGAACACATTTTTGGAAGCACGAGACCAGGATATTAGATCAAAGTTCTTGGCCTTTAACTTATAACCAAGACTGTCTCAGAGCCGCAGTCAACTGAGTTGGGAAAGACTCCATAAAAGTGACATGGACACTTAAAACTGGAAGGACATTTAAGGTGGAAAGGCAACATTCAGAACCAGAGAACAAGAATAGAGGCACAGAGAGAACTCATCAACTATATCATCGTAGTAATTTACAATAATATAAAGCGAACACAGTGTATCCGGCACTGTGCTGAGTGCCTCATCAGCATTAGTTTTCTTTAAACTCCAAAAAAGACAATCCAATGAGGCAGATGAGGTAATAACACAATACCTGCCTCATTGGATTGTTTTCAGATGATGAAGCTGACACTAAAGACCTTAGATAACTTGCTTCATGTGACAGACCTAATAATTGCTGAATAAAATTGAAATATTTGGTCTATCAGGCCATCACCCAGGACCAACACAAGTGAGTTTCCTCCTCCTACTGATACTGCCTGTTAAATGCTTATCCTGGTCAAAACCACACTTTTAATGCAAATTTTCAATCTGCCCTTCCATAGTAGGATAATTTATGTTAACTTGAATTTCCAAGCAATCCTAAATACAGGTAAGAGTTAGGTTAACTGATCTGCTGAGGACAAAGTTTGCTTGTTTATCTATTTCGAGTCTCTGCACACTTAAAAATGCAAAGGAAACGCTTAGCGAATTCTTGCATCTAAAATGGCCTTTCTCCAAATCCTGCCTTCTCCACTTACCTCAAAAGAATTGTGAAGATTAAGTAGAAACAGGTACCGCGGTTTCTGCAGTTAAACTCAGTGAAATTAACTATTATATTTCCATTACATAATGCTGCACTGTAGGACCCAGAGCTCGTTACAGAGGTGGAGCCTGGAAAGCCAAGTTTGGCAGTTACTACCTCACTAGAGCTGGATAAAGTATGACAGATAGATGAAGAGAACATAGGAGAAATGAAGCGTCTTCGAGACTAAACACTAGAACTTATCAGTATTTACAGGGCAAATAAATGAAGAAGAAACCACTAATGAAATTTCACACAAACAGTCAAAAGGATTTAAGGCCGGAAAAGGCATAAGAGTGCAAGCACTTCAACTAACTTTTAATCAACTACAGCTCATTAATCCCACTCCCTTGGCGCGGGGATCTGGGCACTAGTAAAGGGGCTTTCCCAAGCCCAAGTGACTCCAGAGGCTCTAAGTACAAAACACACTGTACACGAAACAACAGCACCAGGATTGGTGCAGGACTTCAGATAGCTCCAAGAACCTCACAAGGAAGGTCGGCCGGTCTGCGCAGGCAGTGAGTGAGTTAACACAGCCCATTCCCTCACCACCGGCTCGGACTCCTCGGCCCCAGCCGCTCTCACACCCGCCTCGCGGGCCAGTGCCCGGCGGGAAGAGAGCCACGCGCACTCCAATGATGCTCACAGCTGTACCAGTGAGCCCGCACCCACTCCTGGGCCTCTTTCACTTCCCACCCGATCCAGCGACCCGCCACCCCCTCTCCGGTTCGCTGCCTGCGGGGACTCCACCGACTTCAGATAATTACCTAGCGCTCCACCGCGCCGCCATTACACCGGACGTACGTCACTTCCTTTTCCCGACCACCGACAGTAGGAAGAATGCGGATAGTGAAATACATAAAAACTTGAGGCTCAATCGGCTTGACACGTTATCCTTTTAATTTATTTCAAATACCATATCATAATACCAGAGTCAAAGTGGTCGACCCAGTCACACTGCCTTCTTATCAAAATGGCGACAAAAAAGAGAAGTTGACATGAACTACAAAGTCCGAAATCCAGCGCCTAAGTTGACGGAAATGACGAAAGCGGAATTGTAGTTTAGCATGGAATGGCGCGGTGTAAGATGGGAATTGTAGTTCATACAGTTGGGCGCTAACGAGTAACATCCAAGGTGCTCACTGGCAGCCTAATAGTGTTTAGAGTCTAGCCGAATTTACTTTAATCTAAAACTATTTCTCTGCATTTAGGGGAAATTTTTTTTAAAGCAGTCAGTTGTCACTTTTCCGTGAAAATATTAAGAGATTTTCCTGAGACTTTATAATAGAGTTTGACCAAGAGCCTAATAAGCAAAAATGTTACCAAATATTAAGTGCCTAATAAATTCCAAGACGTCCAGACCAAGAGAATGGGAGAATATTACATCATATATAGAGTAAAATAATGAGGAAAAACTAATTCTATAGAGACGACGTTGCCTCTCTTTTAGGTTAAGGTACCAACTGGTATGAGCTGAGAGTAAGGAGACTGCCTGGCTGAGTGGGAAGCAGTTTGTACAGAGTGCAGAACTTGGGCATTGAACAAACTGTTTCTTTAAACTTCACTTTTCGCTAGTAACAAAACCTAAAACTTCAACTACTTGCTCTTTTGGAAACTCTCTTCCTCAAACAAGAATATCTTTATATTTTCAAACCTTTCATAAACCAGGCCTGGTTTTTCCACACACTTCTCTATTACAATTTTAGAGTGCTGTGCTTCCGCTCCTTTCTGGAGGCAGAGTGTGATGATTAAGAATAAAAACACTGCAGTTGGACCACATATGTTTGAGTCATGAGTTCTTTGATTATTTATGGATCACTGGGGCAAATAACTTCACATTCTGTGCCCATTTCCTGATTTGTTAAATGGAAATACTAATATTACCCACCCATTAAGTGGTTTTTAGAATTGAATTAGTTGATTCACATAATGCATTTAAGATAATTGCTGGTATACAATAGTGTTAACTGTTTTATTTCATATTTAAGATATTTGGCCATTGTTCATGGCGCATTTTGGTGTACCAATACAGAGCACAGGAGACGGATCTGGAGATGAACATTTGTATTCATATATTTAAAAATCCACAATACTACCTGTGATGGTTAATTCTGAATTTCAACTTGATTGGATTGAAGGATGTAAAATATTGATCCTGGGTGTGTCTGTGAGTGTGTTGCCAGAGAAGATTAACATTTGAGTCAGTGGACTGGGAAAGACAGACCCAGCCTTAATCTAGTGGGCACAATCTAATCAGCTGCCAACAAATATAAAGCAGGCAGTAAAACGTGAAAAGGCGAGACTGGCCTAGCCTCCCAGTATACATCTTTCTCCCATGCTGGATGCTTCCTACCCTCAAACATTGGACTTCAGTTGTGAGATTCAGACTGGCTCTCCTAGCTCCACAAGCTTGCAAACAGCCTATTGTGGGACCTTGTGACCATGTAAGTTAATACTTAATAAACTCCCTTTTATATATATAATTAGTTCTGTCCCTCTAGGGAACCCTGATGAATACACTACCTCTACAACGATGAACAGAAATAGAAAAGATTGAGCAGAGAACTAGATGGAGCTGGAAAAGAATAGATTTGTCAGTTGGGTCCTTCAGGAAGCAGACACTGAGAAAGAATTATGAATGAAAAAGGTGAAAGGAAAAGGGAGGAAATAGTATTGGGCAGGGTAGCTCCATAATAAAGATGAAGAGGCCTACATTGGGATAAAATTTCTAGGCCCTTGTACCAGTTATTTTCAGTCATTGGCTAGAGCCACCTTAAGAGGAGTGTGGCCTCAACTGAAAACCCCAGGTAGATGTGAAGATGTGAACAGTTAAAGGCTGTCATCTAACCACACTGCTTGCAGCTAGGCTACAAGTAAGTCCTTTCCTGAAGAGGCGTCTGAGCAGCATGTCTCTGTGCCTGTCACGGTGCACCCATTACACCATGTGGATTCAGTCTCCATACACATTTTGGGAGCAGCTTTTACAGGGTTCTAGTGCATATTTCTTCCTAAAAAAGAAACTTAGAAGTGGAAAGTTGGTGAGACAAACTACAGTCCCCATCTTTGGGTCCTGAGTCCATTTCCTCTCTTCTCTACTATTCATTCTAAATTTCCCTTGCTGTCCACTACCATCTCTACTTCTCTCTGTGGTCATACTGGTGATATAAAACTCCAATTCCTGGGAAGTCTGAGCACCTGGTAGTGATCATCTTCTCAGGTAGGTGTTGCTGCATTTTTTCATTAATGGTCATTATAGGGTAAAGGATTACCAAGAGATGCCCAAGTGCATCACCTAAGTATCACCCATATTCTTACTTGTTCCCATTGTATAACAGCAAACCTGTCTCCTCCTGCTGTTTGGATTTAGCTACATCTGATGAAGCATTGATTCCTTTCTTGCCTACTGGTTCCTAAACTCTAGAAGTTCCATGTTCCCAGCCACCTGCTAAGCTTAGTTCCGTGGGACACTGTGTTGCCTAGCAAGAATATACCACCTTTGGGGATTAAGACCTCTAATTTCACAGAGCTCAGAGTTGCAGGAACTCTATGCCCCCCAGCAGGTCATTGGGAAAAATGGTAAGTTGGGTTATATTCCTGTTTTCATCCCTTGTTTCTTGGACCCAAGTATTGTTCCTATTAGGGGCCCTGCATTCTGAGAGACAGTACCTCATTCTTACAGAATATTGTCTTCTAGCTGGTACTTCAACTGAACCTTCAGCAGGCCATTCCAGTGCTCTATTTGGCCACCGGCTTCTGGGCATGCAGCATGTGATACAGCCAATGGAACCCATGGTCACAGGCACGTCTTGCACCACCTTTGCTATGAAGCAAGTCCTGCTTGGATGCTTCATTGTATTATATCCCATACCTGTGGATCAAGCATTGTGGAAGTCTCCAGATACTGGTGCTGGATGAGTCTTGGTGAGCATAAAATGCAAATGCATACTCCAAATAATTATTCCCATAAAATTGAACTGCTAGAATGGAAAGATCTCAATATAGTATAGCCTACTTACCACCAAGTGTCTACTTGGTGTCAAATCAAGGATCAGTTTCACAGGTCAAGCTTTCAGATGAGGTAGTAAGTAGGTAGATCAGCTGTGGTAAGTGGACTTTGTGCTGATGCACCTGTGCATATATTCCATTTTTGCCACCCTGGCCATTTTGTTCTTGTACCGATTGTGCCAGCACTGAGGTGGCCACTAATAAAGACAAGTTGACATCAACTAACTGATTAATTTTTCTACATTTTTAAGTGCTTACTCAATAGATCATACCTTCTTGTGGACATTGATGTGTGTAAAAATATCTTCACACTGTTTGCCCACACTAATATGTACATTCACATTCCTCTAAGACCCTCAGAACTCTTTGTCTGCGATCTTCTAACCTCATTCTTTTCAGACCTCTGACCAGCCAGCCGGGATGCTTGTCATTTTCTGTAAGTATATTTATATTCTAACCTCAGGCCACCTGTTCTTCTACCGAAAGTGGATGACAAGGTGCACCATCCAAGCTTTGTTCATTAGGAAGACCGTTTCTCTCCACTGTCTTCAAGGCTATTCTTTAAGGCCATTGTAATATAAGCTGCTGCCCAATTTCAGCTTTCATCCACATACTTGGGCAACCCATTCATAAGCTAAGCTCAGCCATTTTTTTTTCTTTCTTCAGCTTCTTGTTCAAGACCACACTTCTGCCCCATATGGTTACCAATATGAACTGAGGGACAACTATTGATGCAACTATAATGATGATATCAGAATGTATGCTATCTGTTCCTGTAGATTGATTGTGGTCTTCTTTGTGCTTCATCCCAAATGTAATTCTTTCATCTTATGATTGATTACAGCTGAGCTGCCCAGAACTTATAACATGGTGTATTCAACAAGGCACATTCTTTTTTTTTTTTTTTTTTTTTTTTTTGAGATGGAGTCTCACTCTGTTTCCTAGGCTGGAGTCAAGGCACATTTTGTTTTGTGTCACTTAGTGTCCCACAGTCAAGCATTTTCTCTTTCCCAATAGCATTACAAGGGCCATTTTTCAAAAGACTTGTAGACCTTCATCTAGAAACCAGGCACCTTAACTGTAATTTTCCCACTGAGATTTCTATAAACTCCGTACTGCATCTTTTTCCACCACTGACACCTCTAGCATCATAGGATCTGCCAAATCATATAGTGCAGTGTCAAGGCTATTTTCACTACAGCTCAGTCCTGCTATAAAACTCTTTCCTGTGCCAGGTTGCAAAGTTGGCAGCTTTTTATGTCACCTGCTATATGAATGAGAAAAATATTTCTAGGTGTAGAGTATGTTGCTTACAGAACTCAAAGCAGCTTCCTAGGCATTGCCCTTTTTCCTTTTTTGAATGGGATGTAAGATATTGCAATTTGTTCTTTTATTTTGAAGGGGATATTCTAGCACACATCTGAATACTGGGCCCTTAACATCTTTAATAAAGAACCAGGTCCCTTTCTGATTCTTCCAAGGGTTCATTTCTCACTCCCTGGGACCCAAACCCCAAGCATGCTAGTAACCTCTTGCTAAACCTGTTTGATCAGAATGATATCATTGATATAATAAATCAATATAATATTCTACAGGATTTCCAAATGATTCCTATCTTTTTGGACTATGAGTGTGAATAGGAAAGTTAATATAGCCCGGGGGAAAAGTTTCCATGTATATTGACCTTTTATTTCATATGGACATGAACTATTTATTTCATACCAACATGAACTATTTCAAATTGTCTTGCTTGATCAGGAGAGAAAAGAATGAATTCTCCAAACCAATAGCACGGACCATACACCTGGAGCCATATTATCCTGCTTTATCAATGATACTATGCTTGGCAGGACAACTGCAACTGGGGGGTGTCACTTTGTTAAACTTTTGGTAGTTTACAATCATTCTTCTATTACAATTCATCTAGTTTCTGCAGAGGCCAGACTGTTGAATTAAATGGAGATGTGATGGGAACTATCAGCCCTGAATCTTTTTCATTTTTACGGGTATCATTAATTTGCACTATTTCCTAGGCACATTACATTGTTTTAGATGTTGTCTCTTGGATAAGAGAGGCAGTTTTAAAGACTTCTTCTTAGCCTTCCCCACTATGGTTGCTCTTACTCCATAGGCCAAGAACAATACATGGAAGTTGCTCCTACTATGAAATATGTCAATCCCAATTATTCACTTGAAGACTGGGTAAATAAATGTCCACTGGGTTGGTTTGTGAAACCAGTGGATTCATTGTGAGCAGATTCTGGACAGACTCATGGACATGACTCATGACCTCCATATGCTTCTGTTCCAACAGAAGAGCCATGATGTTGCTTCAGATCTTTAGGTATCGGTGTTACTTCTGATCCTGTATGCTATAGTTCCCAGAAGTGTGGGTATTCCCTTTCCCAATGAACAGTCATTCAAGTAAGTGGAAATGGATCTCTTTGGGGAAGAACCAGGGGAATCATTGCATGTCATACTTGAAATGATATCACAGGATATTTCTTCCTGAGACCCAGCCAAGTCTCAATACCTTGAAACCTGGCACAGATTCAGTAAGTGGGCAAGATATTGTGATTTTTTTATCAGTGTGACCACCGTCAACCTCCTGTTTATACGTTCTTTTCTTTCATTGCATATATCAAGCAGCGTCCTCATTGGAGGCCCATATATTTTGCACCTAGTGACACTATGTTTTATTAATCATCTTCACAATTCCCTCTTCGCTGTTGCTCTGACATCGTTGGTCACAACGATAATTGTGACCTACTCCACCCCCAACATTGGGGATTAAGTTTTACCTCAACCTCTCTTGCTCTTGGGCCCCATGATCTCCATTGGTACTAAGGAGCCAAGTTCTATGACAGCCTCTCCTACAGTCAGCCCTGACCTGTAGAGAAAAGCCAGCACTGGATGTCTTGGTGATGTTGGTGCCCCACTTACTAGTAAATTCCTAATGACTTTGCGGAATGATGTGTCCTCATGGTGTCCTGTGGAAAATAATTTTCTGGTAGACTTTCTGATCTCATATCCGCTCCAGCATGTCTGCTTTCCTGGGCTTCTTACTGCCTTCCTCCATTGTCTGCTATGGCAATCTAGGCATTTCAGTTTTTCTCAGCATAGGCCATCACTTTCTCCAGGTGTCTAGAGGTACCCTAGCAGGAAATTCGCTCTACCTCCTTGGATCCTTTCCAGGGAGTTTAATTATATCTCAAGAGAGTATGTTAAAGAGTATTTCTTTATCTAGTATTATGTTCTAGTGCTATATACCAGTGAAGTATTTTAGCAGTTGGGCTACTATATTGTGCCAGGGATTAATTGTGCCCATATGCTACCTATGGTGGGCTATCTCTTTTCACAGGTATTACTTACATTCTCAGAATGTAATCTGAGAGCCCTACAGAAACAACTGTATTAGGTACTCTGAACTATGGGTATTTTTGTCATTCTGGCAACGAGGGATCCAGTGTCAAAGTCTCAACTTATCACTTGTTTTTTGAATCATTTCTGGAACTGTATCAGTTGGATCCTCTAAGAAGCAGACACTGAGATAGAAACAGGAGTATAAAAGATGTATTCGAAAGTAATACCTGTGAAAAGAAAAGACAGGAAGCAAGATTGAGCAGAAAAACTCAGCAGATCATGATGCAAATCTGACAGGTCTTTGAAAGTTCAACAGAGAGGTTCAGAGCAAGGATTGCCTATTACAAGAGTCTTGCATTGGGGGAAATTTTAGGTCATTTAATATAGTTTGGATATTTGTCCTTTCCAAATGTCAGGTTGAAATGTGACCCCCACCCTCCAACCCATGTTGAAGGTGGGGCCTGATGGGAAGTGTTTGGGTTACAGCAGCAGATCTCCAATGAATACCTTTTGCCCTCCCCACAGAAATGAGTGAGTTCTTGCTCTATTAGTTCATGTGACAGCTGATTGTTAAAAATGGAATGTGCCCCCTCCCCCTCTCTCTTGCTCTATCTCTTGCCATGTAACCCACCTGCTCCCAACTTGCTTTCTATGAGTGAAAGCTTCCTGAAGCCTCACAAGAAGTCAAGTAGATGCTGGTCTCATGCTTACACTGCCTGCAGAACTGTGAGCCAAATAAACTTCTTCTTCTTCTTCCTTTTTTTTTTCAGAAATTATCCAGTTTCAGGTTTCTTGTCATAGTAATACAAAACAGACTACCGCACCATTATACCACATTCTTGCTTGGTCTTTGGCTGGGATGACCCAAGAAGAGTATGACCTGGGCTCAGAGGCAGATCTGAAGGAGTTAACAGCTGGAGGCTACAAGTCTGAATATAGGAAGGGTGCATTTCTATGTCTGCCATAATAGGTATCAGCATAAGGAGATACTGGAAAGAATTAGATTTGTTTGGTATGCTCCATATTTTTAAATTTGCTCAACACTATTATAAGAGTTGCATGGGAAGAACTGTCAAATCTAAAGAAATTCACAGCCTCCCCTAGGATCAGTTAATCTAAAAGTTTCAGAGATTGTAGATTTTTAAAGGAAGCCTCCAGAGAGTTATCACTGCCCTCACTGTTTATATTAAGTTCTCACTTTATAGGAAGATGATTAAAAATGTATGAAATGGCTAATGGGAAATTTTATTTCCATTCATTCTGATATTATTGATATTATAATCAATTGATCACAGCTATTCAGCCTCATTCTTAAGCAGATTTCTGTTTCCCTCTGAAGTTTGCCTCAAAACCCTAGTTTAGGCAACAGGCTAGTCTTTGTTTCTCCAAAGAATATAATCCAAGAGCCCTACAGAAAAGACTGTATTAGGTACTCTGAACTATGCGTATTTCAAAGAATAGAGTCTTGAGCATAATGTTCCAAGATAAGATTGCTTAGAAAAATTTCAGGCTATACCAATGGACCAAGTCAGGATTTCCAGAATCCCTTTCTGTTCAGAAACCATTATACTTCATCAAATCCAACTGCTTGATCCAAGGTCCAGTGGAATGAGTTAATTACAGCACATTTAAGCGAATGAGAGAAATTGTAATGTGGTTTATTCAGAATATATTTTTGGTATTAATTTTATATTCTATTTTTTCAGAGATACATAACAGATTCTTTTTTTTCTGAAGCTATCTTAAATCCTCAGTTTAGTAGACTCTTCCTTTGGGGTTTGATTTTCACTGACATGTAAGAATTGAAAAAGAACTATTTTTACCAAGTCTCTTTACTTTTTCATAGCAATATAATTGTTGCATAAGATAAATAAGAATATGTCTTCATTTTTACCATGTTATAACTGGACAAATCGATTGTGCAATGAGAGTATATTTGAAGTGTTACATTTGAAAATAATTCTTATTTAAGTCTGTATCAACAAGAATTGACTTTATATGTGGAGACCAGCTCATAAGTGACACCAGCTGTTGTCTTTACAGGGAAAGCCAGTACGCGGAGTAATGATCATTTCCTTGGAGACCAGAGCACCCAGGGTCATTGAACCGATCAAAGAACCCTACTAATTCCTTTTCCTATAACATTCAGATGCTACCTTGGAGAGGAGGTGGGAAAGGATGGATTGGACATGCTAGAAGGTTTACCAAAATACCTCAGAATCAATTAGGGTTTTTGTTGTTGTTGTTGTTATTTAGGGGGGAGGGCAGTACTTACCTTCAAGGTGGTGTTTGGAAATGTATACGGTCAGTTAAGGTTGCCCCCATTGCCAGAAGAGGCAGCTGCTGGCATTTTGTCGGGGAAGGAAGTTGGGTAAGGGAGACAGTAGGGGTGCTAAGTGTCTGTGCAGTTCTAGGAAGAAATGTCCCACCCAGCATGCCCCTTGGGTTATCATAAGGAATATGGAAATGTGCTGTTAAATCTTACAGTCCACTGGTTCTATTGAAATGACTTAATAGATTTCTTTTCCTCCCCTTTGTACAACCCAGGGGGTGGCGCTCTTGAGGAAGATAAGATTTCTTTAAACAAAATAAAGAATTACCTTTGCATCCCAGATCCAATTTGTAATGTGACTGGTCCTGTTAATTACAGATATATTTAAAAGCACAATTAATCCAAATGCAAAATAGTTATAGACATATTTTCAATGCTGGAAATATAGATTTCTAGAGGGAACAAAACATACTCATTAACTGATTTTATTAAGATACGTTTTTTTACAGGGTGCCTAAATTTCAGAGGATTATGTTAGTCACACTGAAAAGCTAAAGTGTTGACTCACTGATTTGTCACTTAATTCATATCATATGTTGAATGTTTTAACGAGTCTCCAGTACTTATGCAACCCACATGTAATAACTTAAAAGTGCTCTTGGAACGATTTCTGACAATTTCTACAAAAACACTTTAATTGAGGTAGGCAACAGCTTTTAACTGCCATAGGACGATGTTTTGATATGAGAGGTGGGTGGGAATAAAAACAACAAAGAAACTCACTAAAAAGGTTCTCTTGCTCCACCCCTAGCTCACCCCCAACCTGTGTTTTTCTTTCTAATGCTGTTTCCAAAAAAATGTCCTTCTCAGACCAATGTTAATATTTCCAGAAAGTCAATAGTGCCTTCTTCTGTAAGTGAAAGCAGAAGCAGGAGAAAACAGTTTACAGGAGAGGGAAGGTAGACATGAAGAGGAAGATAGATTTAAGGGTAGATAAGAGCAAAATGGAGTATGAAAGCAGTGACAAAAAAAGAAAGTGGAGTATGGAAACAAACGAAATGTAAGAATTGATATTTCTGTGTCACAATCCAACAGGAATGATCAATAACGATTTTGTGATGCAATCCAACAGGAATGATCAATAATGATCTTTGTTTAGTACCTCAGAGTTGATTGTGGTATATGCTGCATACTAGACTCTTGGTACGACCTGGGCCCCGGGCAGCAGAAGCAGCCCACTAGGTCTGGCGGTAAATGTTGGTATCTGTGAGGGAAGCCCAGGGGACCGATCCCCAGTAGAACATGGTGGTTATAACATGGTGTACAAAGCCAGATTATCTAAGTTTAAATTTATCAACTGTATTAGTTATTGGTTGCTACACAACACATCAAAACAACATCTATTATCTCACAGTTCCTGTAGGGCAGGAATCCAGGTAGAGCTTAGCTGGGTCCACTGGCCCGCCCTTGGCCTCTCACAGGCTGCAGTTAAGGTGTGGGCCAGGTCTTCAGTCACCTCAATGTTCAACGGGTAGGAGATTGCCTCTGCTGTGGTCTGTATGTGTCCTCACAAAATTCATATAATGACATCCTAACTAACCCCCAAGGTGATGATATTAGAAGGTAGGGTCTTTTGAGAGGTGATTAGGTCATGAGGGCCAAGCCCTCAAGAATAGAATTAATGGCCCTGTAAAAGAGGCCCGAAGCAGCTTGTTTGCCTCTTCTACCACGTAAAGATGCAGCAAGAAGGTGCCATCTATGAGGAACAGACATTCACCAGCCAACAAATCAGCTGTTGCCTTGATCTTATACTTACCAGTTTCCAGAACTGTGCAAAACACATGTTATTGCTTATAAACTGCCCTGTTGATGAAATTTTTGTTTTATCAGCCCAAACAGACCAAGACAGCTTTCAAGTTCACTCATGTGCTCGTTGGCAGGGCTCAGGTTCTTGCTGGCTATTGCCCTGGGACATTGGCTCCATGCCACTGATGTGGACCTCACCCTAGGACAGCTCACAACATAGCAGCTGGCTTCCATCAGGGTGAACCAGTGAGAAAGGGCATAGCCTAATTTCAAAGGGACATCCCATTATTTTGCCATATTACATTTGTTAGAATCAAGTCACTAGGGTCAGCCAATGTTCAAGGGTGGGGAATGACCCATGGGCATGAATATAGTCAGTCCACTATATTCACTGGTTCTCTATCTGTGGATTCAACCAACTGTAAATAAAAAATATTCTTAAAAACAAAATAAGAATGCAACAATAAAAAACAATGTAGGTGGGCATAATGGCTCATGCCTGTAATCCCAGCACTTTTGGAGGCCAAGGTGAGTGGATCTCATGAGGCCACCCTCTTTCCCCCTGGATATTACAAACCATATCACAGGGGGATTTACACCCCACACAATATGGGGAGTAATATCACCCTCTCCCACCCGGGTTTTACAAATTATACCGCAGCGGGGTGTACACACAGGGTGTTTATTAAGAGTAATATTATTTTCCTTCCTGGATATTACAAGCAATATCAAGGGGGTATACACCCATGCGATAGTGGGGGTAATATCATCTCCTCTCCCTCCCTGTATAATAGAAACACTATCATAGGGGGGCATGTACATCCCTTGCGATATTGGGAGTAATAACATCCTTTCCCGCATGGATATTAGGAACTATATCACATGGGGGGGTGTACACCCTCTGTGATTTTGGGAGTAATATGCTCTTTCCCCCTAGATATTAGGACTGATATCACAAGGGGGGGTGTACACCTCCTGCAATATTGCGAATAATATTATCCTATCCCTGCCTGTATATAAGAAACAATATTACAGGTGGGATTTACACCACCTGTGAAATTGGAAGCAAAATCATCCTCTCCCTTCCTGGACATTAGGAACAATATCACAGCAGTGGTGCACATGCCCTGGGATATTGAGAGTACTATTGTCCTTTCGCTTCCTGGGAATTAAGAAGTGAAAGGATAATTAGGAAGTGAATGGAAACAAATGAAATGGTAAGAATTGATATTTCTGAGTCACAATCCAACAGGAATGATCAATAATGATCTTGTGGTGCAAGCAAGAAGACAGGAATCTTTGTTTAGTACCTCAGAGGTGATTGTGGTACATGCTGCGTGCTAGACTCCCGGTCCTACCTGGGCCTCTGAGAAGCAGAGGCAGCACACTAGGCCTGGCTGTAAATGTTGGTCTCTGTGAGGGAAGCCAAGGGGACCGATCCTCAGTAGAACATGGTGGTTATAACCTGGTGTGCAAAGCCAGATTATCTGAGTTTAAATTTATCAACTGCATTAGTTGATATCATCCTCTCCCTCCTGGATATTAGGAATAATACCACAGTGAATTAGTGAATAATACACCTTGTGCAATATTGGGAGTAATATCATCCTTTCCCTCACTAAATATTAGGAATAATATCACGGGGGGGGGTATACACCCTGTGTGATATTGGGAGTAATATCATATTCTCAACCCCTGGATTTAGAATCAATATTACATGGGGGATGTATAGCTGCTGCAACGTTGGGAGTAATGTCATCTTCTCCCTCCCTTGATGTTAGGAATAATATCCCAGTGGGCATATAAACACTCTTTAATATTGGGGGTAATACCCTCTTTCCCCCACCCTGGATATTAGGAACAATATCACAGTGGGAGTGTATATCCCCTGCAATATTGGGAGTAATAGCTTATGGACAATAAATATGAGGAACAATGTCATGGTGAGTGTGTACACCCCCTGCAATATTGGGAGTAATATCGTCTTCTCAATCCCTGGATTTAGAAACAATATCACAGGGGTTGTACGCCTGGTACAATATTGGGAATTATATCATCCTTTACCCCTCTGGGTATTAGGAACAATATCACTGGGAGGTGTACACCCTCAGCGATATTGGAAGCCATATTGTCCTCTTTTGCTCTGGATATTAGAAAAAATATCACAGTGGGTGTGTACATTCCCTGCAATATTGGGAGTAATATCATCCTCTCCCCCACTGAATATTAGGAACAACATCACAGGAGGGGTATACAGCCCCTACAATATTGGGAGTAATATCATCTTTTTACCCCTGGATATTAGGAACAATATCACGCGGGGGGCAGGGTGTACACCCACTGCAATATTGGGAGTAATATCATCCCCTCATCCCTGGATATTAGGAACTAATCACAGGGGAGGTGAATACCCACCTTGATATTAGGAGTAATGTCATCCTCTCCCCCCCAGATATTAGAAATCATATCAGAGGTCTGTTGTATACCACCTGTGATATTGGAAGTAATATGACCTTCCCCCCGCTTGGATATTAGAAACAATATCACAGAAGGGGTGTACAGTGGCTTCAGTATTGGGAATAATATCACATGGGAAGTAAACACCCCCTATGATAATGGGAATTATATTATAAACAATATCATGGGGGGTGTGCACTTCCTGCAATATTGGGAATTATATCACTGTCTCCTTTCCTGTATATTATGAACAATATCACAAAAGGGTTGTGCACCCCGTGCGGTATTGGGTGTAATGTCATCCTCTTCCCCTCACCCCCAGATATTAAGAGCCAGATCACAGGGGAGTGCACACAATGCAATATGGCAATATGGGGAGTAATGTCACTCCCACCCCTCCTGCATATTATGAACCAGATTACAGGGGGTGTACACTTTCCACGATATGGGGAGTAATATCACCCTCTCCCCTCCTGGATATTAGGAACAATATCACAGTGGGGTGTACATTCCCTGTGATATTGGGAGTAATGTCACCCTCTTCTTCACTGAATATTAGGAACAATATAACAGCATCACAGTGTACACCCCCTGTGATATTGGAAGTAATATCATCCTGTCCCCCGCTGGATATTAGGAAAAATATACGGGCATTGTACATCCCCTGAGATGTTTGGAGTAAGATCCTCTCTTCTGCTGTATGTTAAAAACAGTATTACGGGGAGGACGTACACCCCCTGGGATATTGGGAGTAATATCATTCTCTCCCCACTCGGATACTAGAAACAATGTCACAGGGAGGTGGTCCACACCCTCTGCAATACTGGAAGTAGTATCATCCTACCCCTTCTGGATATTAGGAACAATATCACAGGGGATGCATACACTCCCTGGAATATTGGGAGTAATGTCATTCTCCCCCTCCCTGGAAATTAGGAACAATGTCACAGGGTGGGTGTACACCCCTGTGATATTGGCTGTAATAACATCCTCTCCCTGCCTGGATATAAAAAACAATATTACAGGTG